CCCTGCCTTGGTAGCCAGCTTTTGTAGCCTACCACAATGAAATGAAATGGTCTGCAGAGAAGACATATAGCCCTGTTTACCAGCTGTCCCCGCCCTTTGTTTCTTAGCATTGCAAAAACTTCACCGAAACATGCTGACATCACTAACAACATGTACATTTACCCCTTAACTACTTTGAGGTTACATTTTAAGTTTCAACTGCCCCCCCGCCCCCGCTCCTTTTTAATATTAGTTGCGAGATTGAATTGAAACTAAGTTCTTACATTCAAAAGTGAATTCATCTGTGTTAAAAATTCATAATTTCAGATATTAACTATATTTTGGTCCGTGAAGGATGTACCGGATGGGTCCTTCATTGTTCGTGGAAAGAAGGACACATCTATTGGTCTAGAAGGAAGGACTGACTGACTTTGCCGCTCTGTTGTGGTTGGTCTTCTGAAGAATGAAAACCCTAAATTGTAACAAAGCCATAATCACACTTCTTTGTCAAAGAAAACCACACAATGTTTGACTCATTTTGCAACGATCAGATTCACATTCAAATGAACTCAGGTTATGAATGTAAACCAGAGCAAGGCACTGTTATATACGGTTGGCTTAAATGTAAACTTCCGCACACAGTCTAACTTGCAAACAAACATTTATTGGCAACATTTCAGTACTGTGGTTTGAAAGTACCTAGTACCAAAAAGTTGCCAATAAATGTTTGTTTGCAAGTTGCAAGAGTGCGGGAGTTTACCTTTACGTTTTTGATGGAAACATTGCTCTCCTACACACCTGTCTAATGAAATGGATGTGTGAAGGATTTTTCTATTTGATATGCTTGAAAACAAGATAATAATGTTGATAATGATTAAAATAAAAACAGATTCTTTGCAGCACTTGCTTTTTGTACTGATGGTCTTTGTTTTTTTTAAAGTTATACTTTTGGGCGATTTTTGCCTTTATTGGATAGGGCAGCTGAAGAGAGACAAGAAATGCAGCAAAGGGCCGGATTCAAACCCATAGCCGATGTGACCAGGACTATAGCCTCTGTAGGCTACATTTTCTTGTGTTAAATATCAAGCACACTGCTCTCTTACTTTAAAGCACATTCACATTCAGCTTATAAGAGCAATGCGTTCTGCTTTCAGTAGTAGAGTGGCTACAATGCACCAAGTATTCAAAGAGTGAAGCTAACAGTTTGAACAACATACATAATGTACATATGAATCTACTGTATGTGGGCTGATAGCCATCTGGTCAGGGGCTGAGCAGCGTCTCCACCCAGCAGGCAACCAAAGCTGTGAGCCAAGACCCCAGGCCCAACACCCTGCCGGACTTTGAAATCAGATCTTTATTGTCCATAAAGCCTCAGCCAAGTATGAAGAATCAGCCCTCCCTAACAAAACACACTCAGAGAGGGACAAGGCTAGAAAGAAAATTGGTGGTGAGCGAGAAGCAGACAGAAATTTGGAGATAAATTAGGCACAAAAGAGGGATGAATGTGTGAGAAATAAAGCAGGCAGTGCAAAGCATAGAACAATGGTCATGTGCTCACAACTGTGCCACAGTTATTTATAGGTCACAGAGAGATAACTCAATTTTCATAACTTTCTAATTTTGTTTTTGTTGATCCCGGGTCATATGTCAATACAGCACTCTCCGAGGAGTAAAGCTTTAACAGTATGTTCATATCCAGCCACTGCATTCTAATGTACACCTTGTTTGAGACCTCATACCAAGTTGGTCACATGCATGATGTAATGGGTCAACACAATAATGTTGTTTAAAATAGAGGAAACGAAAGTAGGTCTTTGTTTACATTTTGAGGAGGAAAAAGTACCTCATTGTTTCTAAGGAGAGATTTGCAGGAGCATGGACACCTTGAGGAATAGCAGACACTGCAGACACTACTTCTCTGGAGGCGAGACAAAAAAAGGGTAGATTCAGAGAGCCCCGATCAGATGATAAACAGAGGCTGATTTTCCTGAGGGCCCGAGCTGTAATTAATGAATTATGAGAGAAGAATAATAAAAGTCTGTTCATATGTCACCCAAGCTGCACAGACAAATCAATGAACCACTGGTTACAAGATGCAGAAAGCATCACTTTAGGTTGAAGACTTTGTCTTAAGCCAAAACATGTGGTAAGCTGTACAAATATGTTGAATGAATTTATACTCATCTTGTTAATGGAACCAAAAGAAAGCCTACATATTTAACATTGTCATGAAGTGATCTTCCTTCACAGCCTGCAAAGGCCTAAAATAACTAGGAATAACACAGGGATAGCTCCCTTTACATTGAAAAACATCTTAGAGGTAAAAGAAATAAACTCAATCTACAGTACAGACTGTGGCCCGGAGTTAGAGTTGGTCGTCTCTCAAACAGAAGGTCAGGGGTTTCGATCCCCAGCTCCTGCAGCCACATGTCTGATCTGTCCTTGGGTAAGACACTTTACCTTTACTTACACTTTTCACTTGATGGCAGCTTGTGACTGTGTATGAATGTGATCAGTTAATGCTGATGGAAACTTTACAAAGCAGCCTCTGTCATCAGTGTTGGTGTGAATTCGTTTTTTATACAGAGAATGCTGTCTGATAAACCTATCTGATATGGGGCTGGATATTGGAGCTTTAAAAAAGAAGTAGAGGTATTTTAGAAGTAGGGTTATATGAGGTTGACTTGTCAATAGTAAGTTTACAAGGGACAGCAAATGCCAAACAGCTCGGCCCTTTTATTGAGAAACAGGTCGGAGTGCAACCACAGGAGATATGCTACAGGTTCTATGGCTGCAGACATGGCAGTTTGTACCACACAATTTATTAAATATTAATGGAAAGCAACTGAAGAAACAGTGACGATGTAATTGTACAGTATGTTTAGAGTGTCTTTCAGTGCTTTACTTTACCGTCAGCAATCCACTTTTTTTAGCATTACTTCAGCGCAGCACATACTTGTTCCCATGCCTGTAGTGCACTGATCAGCTGATTAGGTCTGTGGGCTTTGAAAGAGGCATCCAAACTTTAAAATGAGCAAAAGAATGCTTTTTGTAATGACTAAAACATGCCGCTAACTGTAACTATTGGATAGGACAGTGGATAGAGTATGAAACCAGGAACATAGAGTGGGGAATTATATGAAAGAAATGAGACACAGGCTGACTCAAACACGGGCTGCCCACTTGGAGGACTATAGCCTCTGTTAATGGGGCACGCGTAACCGCTTGGCCATCTACGCTCCATGTTGAAGGTTTTGTAAACTGTGATCCTGGAGGGGCTTCTTCTGGGACTTGGTAAAAAAACAATTACTTCAGGACCTTTCTGGATCAGAGGATCCCAGAGGCCACACTGAACACTGGTGATTTACGGACCTCCTTTAAATTTTCCCACATGAAATTGGAAAACCAGAGAAGCTGAATGGAATTATGTCTTCAAGTCCATTTTTTTGGCGTGCACTGTACTTCAAGTGCATGTAGACACAACCCAAGGTCCAGACGATATGTTTACCTTACTATTCATACCGTACTATTCAATATAACCTAAAAGTTTAGGTCGAAACCTTATATCCAGGACCTTTCATTGTGAAGATAGGTTAGAGGTCGCTTGAGTTTAGGCATGTTACAGAAGGGATTAACTGCCATGGTTGTGATTTGCGCATTAGTGAGTGTACCCAAGGCCCTTATGAGAGACAGTGGTACTTGACTGGGTGGGTTGCCTTGTGTTACACTTGTGATTGATTGCATCACTGCAGTGGAACGAAGTCGGGTGTCAGGGCTTTTATGGGCGACTACAGTACTGTGGTGTTGGATTTCAATGGATATGCCCTTGGCCAGATAGGCGATATACTACCAGTCCCTTTACACACACACACACACTGACTCACACTAACACACCACACACACTCACCAACACATACTTTTTCTTATGAAGAGCATGCAAACTAACTTCTCTTGAAAGTTGGATTCTATTGAGGACACAATGTTCACGCAAAACAGCGGTGATTTCTTTCTATGTGATCTTTTGAATTTAGGTCAGTGAGAGACACCAACAGACACCCACCCAGATGGCTTTAGAACGTGCCAGTCTGTTGGCATGAGCCTTAAAAAGGTGCTACCACACCTGTGCTGACATCATCTCATTCCATAAGCTCTGATTTCGGGTCCACCATAAACACACTTTATGTCAGGACTCTGTGTGCGTGTGGGTTTATCCCGTTCCAGTCTCAGCCGGGTCCTTCTAAAACTAATTGCAGTTTCTTTCTCTCTGAGTGACAGCGAGGATTTCTCTTCGCCCGAAGCGACGTCACAGCAAGGTAGAAGAAGAAGAAGAAGAAGAAGAAGAAGGAGAAGAAGAAGAAGGAGAAGAAGAGGAAGAGCGCATTTTTCCTCCCTGTATCATCCAAAGAAAACACATCAGCAGAGTGTGTCACACAGACCGTACCTGCAGCCGGGTGCGCACACAAAATACTTCACTCGGCTCATCTTCGCACCATTTCACAGCGTGTAAAGAACTGCCACCATCCATCCATCCAATACATTTGTTGTACCTTTTATCCTTCTTGCTTTTAAAAAAAAAAGATTTCCCATAGAGTGACGAGACTCACGTTTGCTCACAACAGGAGTGTTACATGCGCCTTTTTGCGGTCAGAGGAGACCTCACTGCTTGGAGCAACTTTTCGTTCCTCCCGGAATCGTTTAGAGAACATGTAATGTGCTGCGACTAATAGAGCAGAAAGACAATGCAGAGGTTAACCACACCTTTGAAAGCGGACATCTCTTCTGTAGCCTCTTGACCAACTTTGTTGCGCATTAAAATGCGCCCGACAGAAGAGGAGTTAGATGATGAACTTTTTGCGCTCTTGTTGACAGACAGTTTCCAGTGAGCTTTTCCCCGAGTGCACCGCCAGAAAACAAGGACCTCCTATGTATTTAAGAAATAATCCAACTCCGAGTCGGCTGAGCTCGTCAGTGCTTTAAACTTTGTTGGTGAATCTCCTGGAGGATTTGCTACGTTCACCATGACGGTTCGTCTCTCGCGGATCCAGCTGGCCCTGTTCTTTATCTTGCTCTGCCCGGTCAATATCATCGGACTCTGGTGGTAAGTGCCCAGTTATTTACCACGTGTTTTCTGTTTCACCGTCTCGTGACCGTGACAGTTTTATTCATTCTCATTCAGTTAAAGCTTGTTTGATTTATTCGCACAAACACAAGTCGTCATACTTCTTTTTCTATATTTATCCACAGCACTCAGCACGAGCTTACCCGGCTTTTCACCTAAATACTCGGGATAGCCTGAGAGTTCATTTCATAGACAAATATAATTGTATAAATGCAATACAGTTATAGCAATGTGTTTTAAAATAAGCTCACACAATATCTGTAAATCTTAAAAAATAATGAGTAAAATAGCAACAACAAAAAAAAAAGATAAACTGTACCTGTTGCTTATTTATTTAAAACTGTTTAAGGGTAGGCATGGTAGTTCACATCATCTTACCAAAAATACCCTAAAGGCAAATTCATCTTTGTATTTCACTTAAAACTTTCAAATAGTGACAAATATCGCCATGTCAAAATATTGCTCAATGAAGGTGGGAAATATGGGTCCCAAGGGTGAAGGACAAAGAGACAGAGAAACAGGGTGGTGAAAGAGGTGTCTGCTGCTCATTGCCTGCAGTGATACATGGAGGAGAGAGGAGAGGGAGTTAGGTGGAGGTGGTGTGTATGTGTGTGCTGTGGTGGTGGTGGTGGTGGGGGGTGGGGGGTTTGGAGATAGGAATGTCAGGTGGCCCTTTAGGCGCAGAGGATATGTCATCATAAAACAATCCGTATAGGCTCAACTCTGCAAGGTGTGTGACAGTCGTACAGACAGACGGAGAGACGGACAGCCCCTGCAGATCTGCTGATAACATATTTTCTGTCCATGTGGGTCTCTGTCTTTCTGTCTGTGCTATGTGTCATTAGACAACCTCATTTTTTTTTTCCTGGCTCTCTTGTCCTCTCTCTCTCTCTTACACATACAGACACACACTCATCCACACACACGCACTTCTGCAAAGCGGCAGGGAAGCTTTGAGATTTTTTTTTTTTTTTTTTTTCCCAGGGAATCCTCCCACTGTTCATTCACAGTCAAGGTCAGTGAGTGTTGTAGTGTCACAGAGGCTGTGAAAGTCTTCTCAACTTCCTTGTTTGACTGTCTGATGGTCAAGCAGCTTCAGAGGATGTTGTCTTCCAGCAGCTTTTCCAGAGTCTGAGCATGCAGTCTCTTCATGTGAATACTTGGTAATGACCAATGCAAGGAAACAATTAAACGTTTTGGTCAGTAACTAGTGGAGTGGACATGGAACACAAAAAAAATACCAACTATTTTTTGTCTAATTTCACATTTGATCGGAGGGACTTCTTCATTTTTTTAGAAAGCACAGCAGGGAAAGCAAGTAGATATGGATAGAAGTCTTCTAATGAGTTGTCTCTTAGTAAGAACCTGTTCATTTTTTCAATGTGTTTCTGCAAAGATTTACATCAAAACTTAAACATCTGAATAGCTAACACTTGCCTAGTCATCTCTCTTGCCCTTAGAAAACCAAATGCACACTTGTTCTTTTCTACGTATTCTTGAGTTTAGGTTCTTTTGACTTCACAAGTATTCACTCATTGGGCTTGCCTCAAAAATGCTAACTGTTGATCAGACAATCTATCTGCTGCAATATCATGAAGAAAAAAAATCCATAGAAATAAGGGTAAGACATGGCGTGTGTACTTTATTGTTGATACTATAGGTGATCACAGAAAGAGGAAAATAGCTTTTTGACAGTGTCTTGGACTCTTACAATGTTTCTCCTAAACCTCAGTTTTTCTGGTCCCCACTAGACACAAGACCTGATTTTTTTTTGGTAGCTTCTTCTTAAGCTGTGGGTGGAGGGATGGAGAAAAAGAAAACAACATAGGTTTGACATGTGAAATTCAGCCACCTTAAAATCGACAAAGACAAGTGACTTTTAGCCAGAGGGGTGCTGGTCTGTTGCTGAACTCTGCTGTGACCCAGCTGCGGAGGGAAAGAGGGAGAAACACTGTCCCCCCAGGGGTCAAGTCATACACATTTCCTTCAAATACTTTTTCCTACATTTTGGCTAAATCATGTCAACTAAAAGAGAAGTCTTCCAAAAAAGAGAAAGAACATTTTGAATATACTCCATACTAGATCTTACATGAGAAACCCTCAAAGTCTGACGAGTAAACTTTGAAAGTTAAACCATCAGTTGAGAAGAATCCAGTTGCCAATCCATTTGGCAAACGAAATATGTGAATCATTTTGTTGGCGACGTGGAACAGCAGTACAGGTGGTTGGAACCTTTATCAAAGAGGTCTCTTTCTCTCCTAAAAGTAATAACACCAAAAACGCAGTGTCATGGTAATAATTGATGTTTTCTAGTTGTTTTTTGGCATGCAGAATGTCAGTATGGGCTGTGAGCCAAGCTGTTGCTTGCTCCTTATGCAGAATTTTTACTTACTTATGTTTGTTTTTGTTTTTTTTCGAGGGGGGCATTTTGTCTTTATTGGACAGGACAGCTGAAGAGTGACAGGAAATATTGTGAGGTGAGAGTCGGGGATGACATGCAGCAAAAGGCTGAGGCTGAATTCACACCCACGCCCGATGTGACCAGGACTAAAGCTAATGTTTTTAGGCTAAGATTTCTTCAGTGTTCATAATATAAAAGATTTAAACCAAAAGGTGTTTACCCACAGAGATTTCGTCCACCTTCCCACATGGACATGGACATGGACATTCAAACTGTTAAAGATACTTCCGTCAGGTACAGATACAACCCTAATGAGGGATTCTGCTGATGCAAGCTGAGGTACTTCCAACCTCTTTCTCAGCCTCCACAATCCTTTACCCTTAACAAAGTTAAACATTAGAGTGATGTGACTTCAAACATTCAGATATCTATCATGCAACCATGTTTTAATGACTGGTCGAGAGCCAGGCATGCTAATGTGCCTAATACAGGAAAATGCAAGACTATTCCTAATTTGTTGTGTGGTCAATTGCAAAGTAGGAGAACCCGTGAAAAGAAAATGAAACATAATTGATGTATCATTATTTATGGGGCTGAATTTGTACAGAGAGACACTAACCTTGGGCTAAGCGGCCCCATGTGTAAGGATGTGTTCCAACTCTGTCATATTCATGTCAGCTTTCAACTGGCAGCACATTCACCAGGACTCAGGACATTCATTTTAAAAATAAAGCTTTGCTGGATTAAGGGAATCAACACTAAGGAATCTGCTACTTCCTTTTTATCCCCACTGACACTCGTTGTCATCTTCTTTCACTCCCTCACTTCTTTACTGGCTCACTTACACACTGACTCATGGAGACACACAAGGGCAGACATTGACGCACAGATTCACATGCTCATACACACACTGCGGTGGAGTGTGTGTGTTGCGGCTAGGGTGAAGCCACACCTGCGGATAGCTCTGCAGTCTTCCAGGACAATGATGCTCTCTGTTGAAAGCTGCTGGACATACCATCATACGCCTCTCTTTCTTTGTCTCATGCTCGCTCCTCTTCGATTTCTCTATCTCTCATTGAAGCCAAGCTCGAAGCCATAGCCATACTCGCCTGTTGAAGGAGAATACTTATCTCATAGATAGGCTGTCGTTGAAGGAAAAGAGAGAGCTGCAGTGATAGACAGAGTGAAAGAGACGAAATGCGGTGAGATAAATGTCCTTTCAAAGCCTCTGCTGATTAGAGCACTTTAATCATTTGGCCTGGGACCACAGAGCACAGCTCAGAGACTCGGGGAGGAATGCCTTTGCTCTCTTATTCTGCTTTTGACTGCACTGCTTAGCAGGGCCTACTTTGTTCAATGTGTGTGTGTGTGTGTGTGTGTGTGTGTGTGTGTGTGTGTGTGTGTGTGTGTGTGTGTGTGTGTGTGTGTGTGTGTGTGTGTGTGTGTGTGTGTGTGTGTGTAAATCGTGTGTTAGTGATTGTCAAGGCCCCAGTTTGGTGGGCAGCTGCCTCTGGATTTACCACTAGCCTACAGGTGCACACACATTTTGTCTGTGTGTGTGTGTCTGCGTGTGTGTGTGTGTGTGTGTGTGTAGCTTTCTCATTTGTGTGTTAATGTGTACGTCAGTCCAAATACATCTCCGATCCTGGTTAATCTCTTTAACATACACTCAGAGATGTACGAATGCACTCACTCAGTCTTACAGTTATGGGAATTTACCCACCATCTGTGCAGTCAAACCACCATCATCAGCAGAGGAGAGCTTCATTGTAACAGATCTTATCTTGTCCACTCCGCTGCTGCTCTGGAAAGCTAGATTAGTAATCAGGACCAGGGAGATGGGTACAGATAAAGATTGAATGACGATGTGGATTTGGCATCAGGTAGTGAACTGAATTAAACATGCGTGTGTGTGTGTTTGCATGTCTGTTTGTGCATTCATGCTTTTTTTGTACTTTTTTCAGGGATTAATTCAAGATGGTTTAAGTGTCAGAAATATACAGTGCAGAAGTAACAATTGATCCAAGAAATGCCAAAATGTCTTTGACTTGATAAAGAGGGTGCATAATAGTTTTCACGGTTTTGCTAAACGTCAGTAAAAAATGTAAATGAAAGCTAATGTAGCCTAACGTAGCTTGTAATGCACCAGTTGCTGTTAGCATTGAGTCATTTTTTTTGCAGTTCTTTCCTTTTTGTAAATATCACTATACAAGTTCTGCTCTGCTCGTAGGTGTGTTTCCTGTAAAAATAAAAAGGCAAGACAAATTTAACGACTGTTTAAAGGGCCGTATTCACAAAGCCTTCGAAGAATGTTTGTGAATACAGGCCCAGCATTTAAGTCCAGCACATCCATCCGCCCGCCAGGTCAGCTACCTTTCAGCCCAATAAGTTTTATTCATCGACTTTAGTGAACTTGTAATTATAGCCTCAAATTCAAATTTAAAAACATCTTCATTACAGAGAAATACAAAAGTGTCATAATTACTCATATAAGCCAAATACATTTTTTAAAGATACCTGTGAAAAGTGAGCTGCCTCCAGATGACAACTCAAAAGGCAATTAAAGTAATACTTCTCA